CAAAAGTTCTAAAGAAAATGAATGGCTGATTGGCTGAAGAAGAAAAAATGGTTTCCATCAAAGTACAGTGCCTTAGTACAATGTAAGTAACAAGTGTGAATACTGCTCTGCTTACTTACAAAAGTAAGCTCTATCAGGTTCCACTTCCAGACACAAAATGCTGGCACTATATTTTACTGTGATGGCCACCTGCTTTTGTTCTGTAACTGCTGGGTGGGGCCTGAGAGGAGAGTGGTCATTTCCAAGGTCACAGTTCGAACACCAAGGGCATAGAACATTCCATGTACATTGTATCAAATCATTGTTAATGTCTGGTTGCTGGCATATATTATAAAGCATGCACTTCGGTGGGCTGTACATTGTATATGTGCTGTAACAGTTGTTCTTATATATCATGCAGAATGACCATCTTTCTGTTACCTCAGTAACATTTCCCAGTCTTGCTAGAATGTATATTAATCATGATCATGTTGCTATTGGTCAGAAAATAGTAACTCTAACTTGCGATACCGTCAAGAAGCATTTCATACACTCTTAGAAGAGGAATGGACTTGCCAGGGACAATTATATTATTTCATTAAAAATTATGAATGTATCATTGTCTGCTGCATACTAGACCCGCATCTGTTTCCTGCATTGCAATTTAAAAAAAAATGCATGGCATAATGCTAACTACTAAATGTATAATTATTGTTCTACTGAACATTCAAAAAGAAAAAAAATGTCTTATTCAGCCTTGTTTGTTATTCCAAACACAAATTGGGAGGCTTGAAAATATGATTACATTTTCCAACTGGCAGTAGTGACAAAATTAAACGCTTTCTGACAATCTAAAGCCGTTGGAAGATCTGGAAAAAGCTTGATTGTCCATTTCTATCGAAAACACTTGAAATAGAAAGCATTTTATTCTATTCTTCACTATGACAATACAAAAATGATTTATCTAGCGTTCTATTGTTCCACCATTATATTGTTTAACAATGAAAAGTGGCAGTCTGAAATGTCTGACGTTTGAAGGTTGCATGCTCAACGTGAAATTGGATACCGACGGCGTCAGGAAGGATGAATACTTGTATGTAATCATCAGAATTGGCAGTGTCACGCCCCCGACACAATCATACATGAGGGCCGTCAATTTGTTCTAAAAGCCGTTACCGCCAGTACCTGTCAGTGGTAGGCAGGGATAATTCGCTGCGGGGATTATCCATGATGGCTGGCTTAAGCTGGGATAGTCGTGATCCAGGGTCTAACGTGTCTGTTTTATATTCCAGCCCACCCATGCGGAGAATGTCCTCCAAAGCTGTGGGAAGGTAAGACAGAGTTTTACTTCAGATCCTAATAAAACATCACAGAATTACACAAAAACAATGTAAACATGTCCTATCACATATTTAAGCAGAAAATATATTACAGGATATGGTCGCAAGTATTGAAAATATTAACAGTACAGCTCCATTTAGAAACATGATAGTATGATAGCATAGAAAAGTAGTGCTACTCTGTAAATACTTTATCATGTCACACTACACTACGTCCGGTACATAACGTTATATACGTGTTGTCATGTTGAATGTGTACCATACAAACATACAAACACACAAGATACGATATCTCAGATTTCGCATTAAAGTTTACAGTGTTGATGGTAATACGTTCTTGACAATCAACCATTTTATCAATAGCTTTGCTATGAAGTCATAATACATCAACATCGTGTACGGTAATGTTAAGTCCAATAGGCAGACCTATAGCTAGTATAATGGCCCCTCCCCACTTAGACGGGCATCATTCACATGCATGAGCCATGGATGCAAAGAAAAGGTCTTGACCCCTTTTAAACTGTAGCCAAACATTGTACTTCTGAATGCCGCAGTGTAACCTTGTCTAATGACAGTCATACATCAACACTAAGTGAAGACAAACCTATCTCACTCTAGACATAAATATTCACTACCAACTTCCCAAGCTTCTGGCTTTCTGTTTAAAAGTAATTATTAATATTACATACTAGTGGCATTACCGGTATTACAGGACCCTTCATTCAAATGCAATGTAGGCCTGATCAGTATTGACGTACCAAACTTGAATGTAAAATAGCAAAAATTAGCAGCAACATCTAAAATTACAGGAAAGGGACATTACAGTGTACAGTACTACTGTAATTCCTGATTTTTTCATGCTTGTTGGTTTTCGTGGTCACTTCTGCACCGCAAACTTGTATCATTACTTGTAACTAATCAATCTCCAATTCTGCATCTGCCTTCATAAGTAAACATAAAATTCACAAACATTTTTTTCAAGTCATGAACTTTTTCTACCATGCTTCTGTACCGCAAACTTGTATCATTACTTGTAACTAATCAATCGCCAATTCTGCATCTGCCTTCATAAGTAAACATAAAATTCACAAACATTTTTTTCAAGTCATGAACTTTTTCTACCATGAAGTAAAGTGAATTATATCACTCAATATTTCACAAAAAGGTTTTCCTATTTCTTCACATCCTTCCTCTAATCTGAAGAGTAGCTGACCTATGGTTAAGCCTGAAGTGTTTTTCTACATCGACCACAAGTATATTTCCCCTGGGTAACAAAGCAGAACAAAGTTTAACATGATTTGTGCCTCCAGCCTCTTGAAGAAAACAACCTTTTGAACTCTTATCACCAAAGAGAGCTTCTGCTGTAATAAGATATCACAGAGTTGTGGCAATAGCTAACAGGATGGGTACTAACCATATTTCATAGCTGCAATGTAAGCGCTACAAGTAACATCATGTCATGATTTACAAACCAAGTATCAGTCATGACATTGAGACTGAATATTTCTCTCCATCCTGCGGCTTCTCTAAGGCACACCTATGTATTTTCTTGGTTCTTGGGCATTTCTTAGAAAGATTTTAAGCAAGTAGAGAAGATGTGAATAGGGCGGAACAAAGGAAAATTTTCTCTCCTTGAATTGTGTATACCAAGGTGCAGACTTTACCCTCAAGCTCAGTTTCTGAGTTGATTTTGTAGTCCAAAAATATGTTGTTGTTTTTAATCTGAGAACCTACAAATTAAGATAGGTGTGGCCTAAGTCATTGTTAAAATTTAAATTACTTGGTGAAGTAATAGTCAGTGTAATACTGAGTCATGACTTCAGCTGACTTGCAATAAATAGCATTTTCACTCTGGTAGGCACAATCATGACCTCATGACTTAAATTTTTGCAAAAATATATTTCATCAATTCACTGACAATTTGTACAGTTAGTATGTCTCACCCACCCATCATTGTATCCTCACTATGAACCCTGATATATATATTACATAGTAGTTAGTAGATGCCATACTTTGTACACTGTACAATTGTTGCACAATAAAGTTATCTATAATTACAGCACAGAAGCAAACAAATTACATGTAGATAGGCGTGGGCTGTAGGGAGAAGACGGAAAACTTTTGCAACAGTGTGTATCTGGTTTGTACAGTACATTTGTATACAGTTCACCCACCCATCACTGTATCCTCTCTATGAACCCGGAGACATAATTACAGAACGGAAACTTTTATCATCACCTAAGATTTACGCCTAGCCAGGCGGCATAACACATTTCCCGGCGGATGTCCGTCCCTATCTGACTGTCAGACATTCGGTATCTCACCCTGGCAGCTGAATGTGTCTGACAGGTTTATGGGAGTACATGATGTTCAGCCCTCTGCCAATGCCTTCTGTTCAGGGCTTAGATTTTTCCTGCATACTTGCCCTGGTGCAGGTAACATATCCTGCAGCAGAGACGTTTTACTTGCACAACACAGAATTTAGTAAGTACCGATTACACTTAAGGATGTAAGTGGTACAAATATAGCCACAGTACACAAATATAGCCACATAATATAAACCCAGTATAACAGTACATGGACCAGTACAGGTTACTAGTTAGGTGCACGTAGACATCAGAAATATCTGCACAGCTCCCATTTTACTTGCACTAGCCTGCATATGCAGGTAGTATTTTGAGCCCTGTATTACTAAGTTATACAATATACATGTAATGTTTTCTCTTTGGGTCCATTCAGTTTAAAGTTGTGGACAGTTCCCGTATTGGCTGACAGGTTTATAGTTGTACGTAATGTTCAGCCCTCTGCTCAATGCCTGCCTGCTGTCCTAAAGCTACAGTAAACCTAGGGCCTCACTATCTCCTGTAACCAGGGATGAACGGAAATTACCAGGCATCATTTCAGAAAGCTGACGGCTGAGAACCTTTAAGGGGGTGGATGATGGGTTTCCTCTTTCTTGTAGACATTTATATAGTCTTGACTTATTGGGAGGAAATCCATCTTAAGGCAGTTTATTTCTTGAATTCTGGACAATGTCTCAGCAAAATTCAGCGAGAGGGCGAAAGTTCTCTCTCAAAAGTTTGTGCTGCTGGAGGTTTTTTTTTACAGAATCTGATTAATTATTCATCTTATGAGACAAACATTTACGCACAAGACATATCAGTATTTGTTGGGTCAATGTGCCAGTTGGAATCTCAGCTATTCAAAACTGAATAAAATTGAATGTCATGCCATCAAATCATATTGCAAACTTTAAAAATGTACAAAATTTTTGCGTGATCTGCGTTATTTTACTGTAGTAATACTTCACGGACTTGTTCCTGATTTACATTTCTTCAGACCAGTACTTATTTTACATAATGTACTGTACTAGTCATTAACTGTCATGTAACCAGTCACTGCAGAGTGGCTGTGAAACGTGTGTTAACATAAAACAGTTTTACTGCCTATTTGATGCTGTTAAAGATAGAGATACTTTATGTACCTGGTTGTTATCTATGAAGCAACAAACGCATCAAAAAGTATCTTCAGGACAGGGTCGTAAATGTGAAATGAGGCACCGAGGCTATTTTTGATTCAGACCCTGGCGTAAAGTTTTCTTTACAAGTCCCTTGTGGGAAGAGACGTAAAATAGTTTACAGTATTGCCAACACATGTCAGTTCTACTGAAGAGGACCATCTGATACTGTGTTTGAAGAGACTGTAAAAGTCTGTGTTTGTCATAAAATGTCTGAAGCATCGGTGCTGCGTTTCTGCCTAAGGTAGTTACTGTATGATAAAAGGAAAAATTATGCTCAGCTTAGGGCATAAGTTAAGTGAAAATTTAAGGAGTGTTACATTATATGGTTGAACTTTTTTCATACATATATTCATTTATCATATTTATTCATTAATTATTGAATTTTTTTACCAGACATTGGGTAAAATAGTTGTAATTTTTCCTTGCATTGGAAAATAAGTTGAGCCTTTTCAATCATGTACAAGCATGGATAAACTTCTCAGACATATATTCATGATACTTTTTGAATTGCAAAGTTCTTCATTCACAACCACTGTCTTGTTTAACAAGAATTGACATTTTGATAACCGCCTGTCATATTCACCTTGGCAATTATGACCGGTTCACTGTGCACTGAAGCTATAGGTGTTACTGGTTCACTGTGCACTGAAGCTAGGTGTTACTGCTAACAATGCGGTGCCAAACAAAAAGTCAAATTGTGACCCACGTAGATGAAGATGACAGAAGGTTCTCAAAACGTCAAATCTTGTTAATGTTTGTGAATAAAGAATGTTGCCATTCAATCATGAAATTATTCACACATAGTGATGCATACCAGTTCACTGGACTTGGATCCGGACTTGTAAGAATGTTTAGGTTCAAGTCCAAAAAAAACTAAAAGTCAAGAACCGAGTCCGGACTTATTACCATAAAAGACAATTTCACATACCCCTTTTCTTTCCAAACCACCTAAAACCTTCTGTAGATTGTAAAATCTTTGCTGCAAAATGAAGAAAACATTGCCATCGGGCATCGTCAAGTACCAGCCTCCATGTTATGTGGCCAAAGTTTCACTCAGACAACATTGCAAGGTTGCCAACATGCAATTTTGTATATGCCATGGGTTTATGTCTGGACTTACAAGTCCGGAACTGAACCTAAACCTCTGGACTTGAATCCGGACCTGAACCTAAAATTGGGTTTAGGTATGCATCACTATTCACACATGATACCTTTTGTGTTCTCCAGTCACTTGTTGGGGAGGCATAACCACCTCGTCCACAGCACCAGTATAGAGGTGGGGACAGAGGATGATACGGACAGAACAGAAGATGAACTGGCTAACAAGGTAACTGTTAAACACAGACAGCTTTACAGAAATAGAGCAGGGATTCCTGTACACGGCATATATAATGATTTTCTCACAGATAAATTTTCCTAAACAAGGAAAAAAGAAGAAAAAGAAGAAAAGGCAAAATTACATCTGACACCCTTTTTTCATACTTACATACATACTGGCATTAGCAAATACACAAAGAACTTTTATACCTGGCTTGTATATAATGTTATACCTATGCACCAAAATTTAAAAGAAATTGCTGCAAAGAACTTTTTGGAAACACAAACAGACTGTTGGAAAGATTTTGTCTCCTTACATACATTGTAATACATTGGACTTAGCAAAGACATAAAGGACCATGAACATCTGTGAAATCGATAGTTTGGAATATAAAGGGCACATTAAATAAAAAAAAAGATGTCTGCAAAGAATGGAGAATAAAATACCAAACCAGACACCTTTACAGATGTAACAGAGCTGTTAGAGGTATAATACCTCTTTACTGAAGGCATTTCGGGTGTTAGCAAAGACATAAAGGACAGTTAGGGTATGGAGGTTGTTAAGCTTGATGTTGGTAGTTAAGAAGATGAATTGCACACATATTGGCTATAGAAGGGCATCCACTTGAAGTTGAATACAAACTTGGCATTTTTGTGACCATATAAAGTCCTCCATTAGCACAGCTTTATTGACCCAGAACAGAATAAAACATGGAGTGTGCTTCTGGGCATTCTGTACATGTATATATTGGTCATTACTGGAAATAAAAATTCTCTTTTATGTGTTTTCCCTCAAGTGTGAAAATTATAAAGTTCTCATTGGTACACCCACAAGGGAAATCTAGTTTGGGACAAAAATTGACTCAGTTGCAGGTAGTTTTCTGTTGAATGTACATGCTCTTGAAAAATCTATTGATGATGACTACATATTAGTACAACTTATTGTGTGTTGCCTGTAATTTTGTTGTGTAGATTAAGTTGTCCCACGAGTCTTTGTAACCTGTACATGTACATGTAGCACTGTCCATGCTATGGCCAAGTTGGTAGAGTGTTTGCCTTTCATACTGTAGGTCGTGAGTTTGATCCCGGGCTGATTCATACTAAAGACTATATCTAAATTGGTACATATTGCTTTCTCTGCCTAGCACTCAGCCTTTGGAAAAGAGTACGGTAGTCAAACACATTAAAATGGTACATAGATTACTGCTTTCTCTACTTATCACCCAGCATTTGGGAGTATTATTTATGATTTTCTCACGACCAGTGGACTAATTGGGTGCAGCCCTAGCCTGTGCACCATGGATCTGGTATATGAAAGACTTGGACATTTTGCAACCCTCCCCCTGCCTGCCTTCTCCAGGTGCACAAACTGCAATCTCAGGTAAGCGAGCTGGAGGAGGACCATCTGTACAAGAACGAGCAGGAGGTCAGACTCAGGAACGAAAATGCTGCTTTACAAGAAAGGTTTGTTTGTTTGTTTATTGTTTGTTTGTCAGTGAAGGTGAAACGCAGTGCCTTAAACACAGTGGATCAACCCACAAACCCTATAGCCTCAAAAAAGGCTATGGGACTACCGTTACCTTTACTTTTTTTAGTCCTGTTGCAACCATTGTGATTTTGGTGTCTGTCCTTGGTGCTGATGTAATGGTGGTTGTTGCGTTTCCTGCTTTCCTGCACAGTGTAGTTGCCATAATGTCTTGGATTTCAATGGAAGTCCCAGCTTGTTTTTTCCAATCTATTTGGTATACTTGATGATGGTAGACAATGGTGTTGTCTGCTTAGACACATATTTTGCGGGGTCATTATTACACATAGATATTGAATCATTGGGTAAATATGTTGATTTCATGTAGTGCGTAGTCTGAGTACAACATCCTGTAATACTATCCTCTACATGGCTTGGCACAATTTGTAAAACATGTCCTCTGTGAATTGTGCAAAGTCAACCTGGTTCCCAATCAAGTCAAATCAGGACGTTCTAAATGACAACATTTTGTGATCGCCCCATCCCAATGCATTCCCACCTACCCATTAGCAACTAGTGGTTCCCATTTGGGAAATTACACTGCAAAGTGCAAGCAAATTCCTATTTGCACGGATTTCCACCAAGAATTGGTTCTGCATACCTGATATCTTGTTAGTGGCTCAGAAGTGTTATGTGGTAGTGCTTTAGTCGCTTAGTATCGTTTGGATGTGACCGTCATGTCCCTGTACTTGTGGCTGCTGTCGTGCTCCCTGCCCTTCCTGTTGATCTGCCTCCTCCATGGTTGCTATGAGCTGTTCCATCTGCACCAAAAGGCACAGAGGTCAGGTCAAGGGCATAAAGTGGGGAGGGGGGCATTTTTGTAGACTTTACATTTAGTTGCAGTCTTGTCTATCTGCATCCTCCATGGTTGCTATGAGCTGTTCCATCTGCAACAAATGGCACAGAGGTCAGCTCAAGGGCGTAAAGTGGGGGGGGGGCGTTTTTGTAGACTTAATGTTTAGCTGCAGTCATGTGGATCTGTACCCTCCATGGTTGCTATGAGATGGTTCCATCCGCACCAAAGGGCACAGAGGCCAGCTCAAGGGTGTAGGGGGACGGGGGCATTTTTTTATTCTTTACATCTAGCTGCAGTCTTGTGGATCAGTGAAGTGTGTAGAGAATTGGGGGGGGGGTATTTTTGTAGGCTTTAAAAGTACCTGCTTGGTTTGCCTCCCCCCACTGGTATAGCTGCTGCTGATCCTAACACCACAAACACTACTCATCTCTAGACCACACACACGTCACTTCACTGTGTTGTTGGACGATTGCCATACTGTCGTTACTGATAAATGTAATTGAGAGCAAGCTTGCCCTTTCTGGTTTAGGGGAGTCATCTGCCTCTGGTTCTGGGAGATAATGCTTGTCTTACTTTGTATATTTCAGATTTGTGTGACACTTTCCATTACAGTTTACACTCAACATTTTGCAGCATATGTTTAACTTTGTACTATTCATTCAGTAAGGTACTGTTTCTAAAGTAGGAGTCTTTATTCCTAGGTCTTTACCATTTTATGTCATTTCTCATTAGAATAAACCTACTAGAAGAACAGCTGAGAGATGTAGAAGTCAAGGCCCAGGAGAATCTGGAGGAAGAGAGAAGACAACATAGGGAAGCCATGGTATGCTTTTCATTCACATGTTTGTTTATTTTATTTCACCAGGTATTTTGCAATGTGCACTGCAGGGAACCCCAACAAAATTATCAACATCAAATGATATTGTCGATAACAAGAAATAGCAATTTTTTCTGACCAATGAACTATACACCAAGTGACAGTAGCTGCAAGGTGAAATAGCATCTGGATATGTGTTAAGGTTGTATGCATTATGGTAGGAAACTGTTGTATTCTGACAGTTTAACAAATTTAATAGGTAAAAGAAGCAATGTTCAATGCATGTCAGCCAAGCTTTTGACTTGTATTAGGACCAGAGTTTCTACGAAAAGTTTTTTTCATCTCTGCCATTTTCTTTTACCTAAAACAGCCTATAAATTCATGATAATACATAATTTTTATACCCTTTTCTAGATAGACTACATTATCCTTACAATGCAAGTGACCCAGATTTTTTCTCCTTTCCAGGCTAAACAAGAAAGAGATTTGAGAGACGACATAGATCTACTAACAAATAGGTACGTTGCTTCCGCTCACCGCTTAAAGAGACAGTAGTGTCCTTCAGATAAATGGGGTTTTGAGTGCAGCAGAGCCTCTGGCATTAGCAGAGCCGGTAATGGATACTTAACGGCCAGGGGCAGTGGGCTCAACAGGGATTGGGTTTTTCATATGGCACCCCATTAGTGGTGCGAAATTTTCAGAGTACAAAATGCTTTCATTCACCCTAATTTGTATGTATTTCTGTCTACAGCATCTTACATGTTGAGCATATAAGCAAGATGATGTCATATTTTTGCAGATAACAGAATGGTGTATTATACAAGAGACATAAGATAGATGGTTACAAGACATACCATTTTACACTGCCATCTATGTTTACTTAGTATTATATAGGTACATGTACCCTTTTGCTTATCTATGTTGTTGTAAAATCATTGAACACATTCCATACATCACAATAGTTAACATCAGATTATACACTGACATAATTCTGCCAGGTCACATATAACTGCCACCAAAGCAATGCTTCAATGCAACATCACCCTATATAATGCACTCCTGCATATCTACATGTAAATTGTGCATACCTGGAGGGTGCTAGGAATATCTCAAGCACACTGTTTTTCAAAGAGGCAGATATATAACCTGGTACTAGGTAAATGTTAATGTCGGTCAATATATTTACATTTAGAAGACATACTCTGCTTTCTTCATGCATGACTAGGTACCGTTTCATCCATACACATGCATTGTTGTAAAATGTTTTGTAACATGATGAGTCTTCCTTTTGTAACAGAACAACAATGCTGGAAGAAGAAAACTCCAGACTAAAAGAAGACATTCCAAGGTACAAGTCAACAATAGAGAGGTTAAAAGAGGTGAGCCATTCTGTTATCACATAGAAACTTTATTCACTACTAGACTGGCAAAAATAAATTATTTCAAACAGTTGCCACATCCTCCAATCCTTCAACCATTTAAAAGATTGGCAAGACTCCAGATGAAAACAGGTATCAGACTGCTTTAGCAAATGATTTATAGACTTTTTGCTCCACATTCCAAGAAAATTGCTGTATTTTGAAGTCTGTTTTTTGTCATTCCCCATAAACCAGGACCAGACAGTCTTGCGGGAACAGCTGGAGGAGACCAACCAACTCCGGGAGGAGACCACCCAGGAGCACAGAGATCTGGAGCAGCGGGCGCGGGGGGAGAGACAACAGTATGAGGAGGAGAGACTCGCTAACCACATGGTAAGGCTGTCCAACAGGTGCCATCTTGTTCTGTTCTACTACAGACTTTACTCAAATGCCTAACTAGTTGATGTTCTAGTGTAGTAAAGAGTTTGATATTCAGAGCTGCCTAACTGTGTCAAAAGTTACTTTAGACCTTTTCATCACAAAAGATGCCCTAAATTAATCCTTTTAAGATGATGATGATGATGGCTGGCAGTACTTCAGAATCCTGAATAGCCTGGTTACCAAACCTGTTATACATTGTTAGTACTTAGTCTCTTTCGTCCTCTCCCCAAATAAGAGAGGATGAAAGAGGCTCAACTGCTGGTTTGGTAACCAGGCTAAATCTGGAAAGCACAAGGTATAGAAGATGATGATCCACAGTCTAATCGTGTAATCGTTTGTGTATTTTTAGTTAATAGAAGAGATGAACAAGGAACTAGAAGACCTGAGGAGGTACAAGGTCGACAACGAGAGGCTGACCAAGAGTCGAAGCCCCAGTTTCCTGGACATGCCCAGTAGGTACAACGAACTGGAGAGGGAGATCAGAAAACTCAAGGAGGTATGTCTGATTTTGTCTTCCACCAGGCTTTTACTTCATTTCAAGTCATTGGTTTAGCCTGAAGAACATACCTCGTGTCAGATTGCCTAACTTTTACATTACTTTGGTCAAGATCCCATTTGTACCACATGTACCACTGCCTGTAAACAGTCACATGTTTTAAAGATGTCAACTTGCAGCTGCATTTGGACAACTTAAGGACTCATAAGGCAAGGTGCAGGCAATGAAACAAGTTTATTAGCAAGAAAGTTTGTCTTGGTGTACAATATCTTGAAAAAAAATCAGACTCACACACCCAAAGAAGACCAGAATTCAGGTTGAAAAATTGGTGGATCCGTTCTTCGTGGTGGAAAATATTTTCATTTTCCATACTGATTTTGTTTTTTGTTTGCTTGTGTCTGTTGTACAGGAGAATCGAGGGCTAAGGGAAGCAAATGATGACCTGAACGTTCAGCTGCTGAACCACAGTTTCCAGGAGGGGAAGAACCTGATCAATGGACCGTCCTCTTCACTCGCATCCGAGCTGGAGTCTGCATCTAAAGACGAGGTCAGTCATTGCTTTGGCGTGCATCCTGTAATTCCTCATTTGAAATGTCTTGAAGGAGATGTCAGAATAACCAATTATGTACTTCCAAAACGTAATCCAGGAGAGCTATGAATGCATGACCTATTCTCACGAGACTTTACAGATATGTGATATCAGCAGTTGGTCAAACATGCCAGGCAGTTTATATCGTTCTGTGATGGGAGTGCCCTGATATATAGAATTCTTTATATCTCTCAAAAATAGTTTTTTGATGTCCCTTTTTTGTACAACATATTTTCCCCCATCATAACCTCCAGGTTGTGGAGGCTTTGAGAGAACAGCAGGAGATGAATGCCAGGATGAGCGAATACATCGACAGAATCCTCACCAACGTGCTGGAACACAACCCCGGCATCCTGGAGGTTCGTAGCAACAAGAGCTGATACAGAGGAAAACACGGCCCTGCAATTTTCACAATAATCTCTTCCTGATTGATTCACAGTACTGGATCAGCAATGAATGGTGCCATAAGGCCACACCAATTTAATTTTCTGGGTTCTCGCTCAAATAACTGTAAAGAAAAAATGCTGAAATGGAATATCAACAAAAAAGCAAATCAGATGAAAAATCATGTGTACACCATAATTGGTATGCAATTATAGATATCAGATGGAATTTTCGTCATTGCCTTCTGTTTTCATGTTGCCCTGTGTGTTTCAAAGTTTTTGTTCAAAGAAATGTATTGAGAACCAAGAAGATAAATTGGTGTGCCATAAATGCCTTGATGTGATGCGAGAATGTTTTCCCTACCTTCATACTACTACCTACAATTAAAGCTGTGATTGCCTTAAACAAGAGATCAGTTACTGGAATATAGATTCTTATAACACAACCTTGAAAGAATTACCTGAACCCTCTGTCACACATAATCAACTATTGCTTCCCAACCTTCTCCAGATCATGGTTGGGAGTAGCTCCTGTCACACATAGCAAATCTTCTCCAGATCATCGTTATATAATGACGGGAGTTAGTCATAAGCAAGACCATTCCTGGTTAGGACTTGTTTGTCAAGGTAACCATAACCAATCTTTAAAAGCCGACTATGAATTTTGACAAATCAAAGTCAAGAAAGTCCTTTTCTGCCTGGATGCAATTAGAGGCACCGACTTCAACTTGGTTGAGGAGTTGTTGGGAGCAGAGTTCCTGCATGTGTGACACTGGCCTTGACTGACATTCTGGTAACTTTTCAGCTATCTGCATCAGGGTCTGGATGAACTGAGGAGTTACTGAAACGTCGGGTCAGGTACAGCTTTTTGAGGTTGTGTTGGAAGAACAATAATATTCCTACAATTGACCAACCCGATGAAGTCATTAACAAAGAAGATCAGTTATTTCTCCCAATTATATTACTTTGATTTTTACAACAATTACATTTTGACAAACAATGCACATGCATACAGTAACTGGCTTATAGTATCTTTAGTATCAGTTTTTTTTTTGCATGGACGCACTTCAATAACCTTGCATGACTGATTTTAAAACCCCTTTAAGTTTAACATGGTGATTCTTACCTTTATCTGCTTTGAATGTAGTTTTTATTATGTTCAGTTCTTAATCCCTTCCCTTTGCACATGTCTTCCACCCTTTGGTCTTTCACGGTGACATTCACTCTTCTTTGCAATGTTCTTCCCTTCTCCAGTGCAAGTAGCAGAACACGGAGCAACCACCTGGTCACCAAGTTTTGTTTTTATTTTTTCTTCATATCAGAAATCACACTGCCAACAAGCAAAGAAAAAAGAACATGCATGTACATGCATGTACATACTAGAACATGCTTTGGTATAGCTGACCTAACTCACTGTTGTGTTATCTTATAAAATCCCACCTTTGTGCTTTAAGAAGCATTGGACCTTTCAATAAAGGTTTTTGGGATGTTGTGGTCTCTTTGACCAAAATGACACACTCATGTGCAGCTGCTAACACCTTTGGATTGTAACCAGGGGGGGAAATGATACTATCCCATCATCCTTTGCAATACACATCCCACAACACATGTCCCAGATGGCTGACTGTCAGCACCAGGCATATAGTCTTTTCATGTTTCCTTTAAAAGTGCAGCAATGGCAACAATTTGACCAGTAATTTTTGGTTCTTTGAGTTATCAAAGGACTCAAGTAGTGTATGAGGCTATCTGACTTTTGTAACTTATGTACAACTTCTTACATTGTGTCTTAAACATTTATGCAAACATTTGCTTCAAAAATGGTGCTCAAACTTCACCAAACTAAAGTGCTTTTCTACAAACTCTGTTGATTGGTGATATTATACATCTTGTGCATCAGAAAACCCCAAATGCACCAAAAAGCACCCATGGGAAACGGAAGAAAATTGCATTTGTTGATGATTATTACATAAACAATATCAAATATAATATTTTCTTCTGTTTCCCATGGGTGCTTTTTGGTGCATTTGGGGTTTTCTGATGCACAAGATGTATAATATCACCAATCAACAGAGTTTGTAGAAAAGCACTTTAGTTTGGTGAAGTTTGAGCACCATTTTTGAAGCAAATGTTTGCATAAGTGTTTAAGACTTTTACATAAGTTACAAAAGTCAGATAGCCTCATACACTACTTGAGTCCTTTGATAACTCAAAGAACCAAAAATTACTGGTCAAATTGTTGCCATTGCTGCACTTTTAAAGGAAACATGAAAAGACTATATGCCTGGTGCTGACAGTCAGCCATCTGGGACACGTGTTGTGGGATGTGTATTGCAAAGGATGATGGGATAGTATCATTTCCCCCCTGGATTGTAACAAAAGGATGGTACAGTGTTTTCACCAGTAGAGACAGTGAACTTGCCCCGAAACCGAAAGTTGTCATGATGGTGAATGTGTAGCTGGGCTCCTGTCTTGGCAATCATAGCTGAACGATCAGTCTGTGCATTTTTTTTCCAAGTATCCTTTGCCATACTCTCAAGTTTAAGAACCTTCAGATTGTTATGTCTTTCTTGCTTGTCATGTATCAAATCAGGTTGCAAGCAACCTAAACAAAGGTCCACCGATGTAACACAAAAAAAAAACAGTTTTGTTTTCAAAGAAACAGGACATATCAAACAAAGGTGCAGTACTACATGTGAAGCTAGGCTTGCAATAATAGAGAAATAAGTCTTCCATGTATTTGGAGATTAAGGTAGCCCTGGGCAAGGAAATGGAGAATACACAGTATTGTTATTATGATAATATGGAGCAAGGAGAAATTACCTTGTATTTATTTAGGTAACATCTTCTTGCCACTGTCTGCTTTAGCTTATCAAAAAGCATTTGTTAAATGCTGTCAATATTTTGTACAAAGTCATGATTATTTATTTGATCCACGTAATTTACAAATTTGCTGTAAGTATCTTATTTTAAGTTGAATTTGAAATGGACAATCCTTTTTTTTTAAGTTTTCTGCAATTTGATTAATTGTTGCAAGCAGCCCTTACAGTAAAGACAGCATGGCACAGTGCAGGAGTATGAAAGCTTGGTTCCTGGTCAACTTGAATGCAGTGCCTTGCACTAAAAAGTTGGGTGCATTTTGCACATAATTCCCACCAACGAAAACAGGGCATTTCAAGTAAAACTCAATGCTTGCGTGTAGAAACGCCAGAACCTCGACCAATGTCATTGTATCAGACATTTTAAAGTCTATTGTCCCAATGTAATATTGTGATGCTCATTGTTATCTGTTCATAATTAAGGTGTTGATTCCAAAGGGTATTAGTTGTGGATATATGTAAATAAGATTTTATACCTGATGGAGAACAAATGTGGAAGATCGCTATTTTTATACAATCAAACTTCATGCCACAATGACATTTCATTGTACAGTAATTTTAGATTTCTGTGTTTTATAGAGCATGGTTTTAAATCACCTCTTTCAGTTCTGTACTTAATGTGTGGTAAAATGTTCTCTGTTTTCATGCTTTGTCCTACATTTGTTTTTTCCATGCTTTGTCATACATATGTCGTCAAAACTTTGCAACAATGCATGTTGTAAAATGAAAATGTTCAAGTATTTGTCTTCAACGTAAAGTGTCACATGAGCGCAGTCATGGTATCAAACAGGTTTGAAATGATCTCTCAACCTTGTATGTGTATTTTCAACCACAAAATGAGACGTCGACTGTGATATGCTATGTTGTTTAGTCATAGGGCTTACAAAGAGTAATTTATTGAAAATCTGCAAGCAAGTGGGATATCTCAGCTTTTATTTTTTGCATCTAAGGTACCTTTTTTATTGCACAATGTACAAAACAGGCATTTGCTTTCAGAGAACTTCTTGCCATTTTTGCCCTTTCTAGGCTTCTTCAGAACTCCCACTTTCTGTCAAAAATATCCCACTTATATTTTGTACAAAGTAGAATCAAAGAAGCGTTGTAATCAATCTTATTGGAGGTTGAAGCCATATTCGAGCTTGAAAATGTGACATTATGTCAAACAGTTGTGGAAAGTACACAGAAATTGTACTGTAAATCAAATTTGATTATTCCAGTATTCATTTAGAGGCACTTCAAAACAAATTGATTTTGTATGTAGAAAAAATTTTACTGTCTGTTGATGCATCATCTCATGATCAGGTTTGGTGCTTGTATATATTAAGCAACGACCTTGGTGTACCAGCCAATCACGTCGCTGCCTACGGTCAAGACTCAACGTGATTGGCTAGCAACTTCCTCCAAGAACAGGAGAGGGAGTATCTGATTGGTTGATGGCAGTGGGCAGGACAGAGATCGCAGTCCGGTACGCCAATGCCGTTGCATGCTACATACAAGCGACTGGCCTATCATGAGAGGATGTCATTGATGATAAACACAGTCTTTTTGTCTGCGTATTTCTCAGCAATACAGGAACATAGATTACATGTTGCCATGTTTCCCACAGTTCTTGTGCCTTTATGTCATACCAATGGGCGCAGTAGGTAGTTAGGACTTTCTCATACAGTTCTTCTGTCATATCTTCCAGACGCAAAATGTTACACAATAAATCTTGGTTCCATGTCGCAGAAAATGTGTATTGCCGTGTCTTGTTTTGTGTAAGGATATATTTAAAAGTTCCGAAAAGGCATAGTGAGGCAGTGGAGTACTAGTATCGTCTGCGGAATGGTTCAATGAGGACACATAGCGGCTCTCGAAATGAAAGCACACAAAAAGCATAAATGTGACCCTGGTGCCAGGGGAAACGGTTTAATACATTATCTACTTTCCAACACAAAACACACAAGTTTGCTACCAGCCCTCTGATCTTCTTCGGAATAACCGAGGACACGGATGTTCACAATACGTCGATTTCCCAAAGTGTGACGTGTTGCCGGGTCAAAGGTGGCTGGGAGTTTGTAGCTAACCTCTCATGATTATTACAGATGACCAACGAGAGCGCAGTGTCATTAGCGCTTACAAAACGCTCCTGGAATCCTCGTCTTAAATAATCCCTGACCCAGAAGTGGCGTATGCTGAGCATCCGTTATAATGACCAGCGGACTGGTGGAAAATTCCATGCAGTCTCCAATCCATTTTCTTTTCGTCGGAACAAAGGTGAATCTTTTGTTTATTTGTCTATTTTATTGGGATCTCCCTTAATTGTTACATAAACGGCACACAATTCTTCCTGTATTTGGCAGGGGCGATTGTAAATCACTGTGGCTAGTGCAAGACTGGAATAGTTAATCAACCACTTTCAGATTGTACTTGGACCATCGCACACGGGCATGCCCCTCCTTTTTTTTCGAAAGGACCGGGTGTGGTTCTCCCCAAATACGGGACCTTCATAACGTCTTATCCGAGGGACGTCCCTAACCAAAACAAGGTACTCGTTTCCAACTGAGTAAATAGAGTTGTGTCTTTCCGAAGGGCACAACATCGGGCATGTTGGTAGATTTGAATTCATGACATACAAGGTCTCCACGTATCTGTCTGGACTGAAATCACTTTATTTCCAGATCACCATACAGTGTTTTCAAGTCTCAAATATCGTTTGGTTCACAACAGATGTATATCACAAGCAAGTCATGTATATACAATAATATAAATTTCGTTACAATTCATCACAAAAACATGCACATATTAACATTTACACGTTTGATAAACACGTGTTTATTCTCGTAATTTGTCGACTGAGGTGATCTGCCAGTGACAGACACTCATCTAGTCTATTCAACACTCGATGCAGTAATTGTCTTCTCTGCATGGAGGCGCTCCTTCACTAACGCTAGGCAGTTTTGTTTACTCCCAGGCAAGTTCTTGTTTGCCATTAGGTTACATATCTAACATCACAATTACTATAAAATACATACATCGTTACAAGAGTATTTCGTGTTTGTTACATATCGTAGACGATAACAAATTTGTCACAAAATAATCACTCTCTCTTCAAAGTTTGTTTCCTCATCATACGATTTTCTTCATGCTGAATATCATGTTTTATCACATCTAACATGTAGAAAAAATCGGATGGAGTGATTGTTTTTCTGATGTTTTCTATAGAAAAAAAAGGAAAATGTATGGGAAACGGAACGCTGAACGTGACTTTGTGATCTGTATACTATTAGTGTCGATATAGCTAAGGATAGTATCTTTGTGAACTGTAGGTCCTGCCACAAACGGCTAATTAAATTTTAACCCGTAATGAATCCTTCAAATACTTTTGTGTAAATCAAGGTGGTAAACTTTGACATTATTTCTTTGGCAAAAAAAAAACACAACTTCAAGCGTTTTCAAAGTATATATCACTTGTTAAGTTTGTTTTTATCACGGGTTGGGTTTTATCGATATTGCAATGTTATTTATTTGTTTTGGATTCGCATTCACGCGGTTGCGTCAATATTTACGCCTTGCAACGTTGGGAAAAGGGGTTTAGTTTTGTACACGTTGCCTTCGTCGTAGATTTTGGAGCCAAAAGTAATACATGTATCCCCATCACATCAGACTCATAAGTAAATATTCAACAGTTTTGGAGAAAGAAAAACGTCACCCTTCCAGTTACATCTACAGGATGCCAGTAACGTAACCACCGTTGTTTTGGAGATCAAGAGAAATGTATAGTTACTTCCACCCCATGCTTGGCAGCATGGCAGCAACCCTCAGGACCTATATAACCTCTTCCAATAACTCATTCAACCTTTCTTCTTTTTCCAGTTCCAGGAGAGTTTCTATTTATCCTGAATTAACTGAAAAGTTGCTTTCTTTATCTTTCGTCCTGTCGAATGTCTGGAGTCTGGGAACGTCACCAAGGCATCTGATAGGTTTAATCGATAAATAAATCATGTCATTGTGCACGATAAAAGCGCCCTGACTCTTTATCTGTGTATATATATATAACCGTATATGTAGTTGTGTCCGGAACATGTAATGTTTCATCTTTCTTTCGCATACATGCCCTACCAGATCTCGTAGATAAATCACCAATGACATTGCCACAATGTCTGATTATCGTGCCCTGAACGTCAGGACGGCACAGCTCAATAAAAGCTGATGCCCGTTGTTCATTGCTGCCAGTCCTTTACGTGTACTTCAGGCTTGGGAGCCAGTCACATACAACGTACGCTCGTCGTACAAAATAATGCATTCGTAGGGCAGTCCTGCATGTGTCCTGCAAAATTCAGCCGTCTTGTTACGGAAAAGACTCTTAACACCCTTGTCTGCGGTTGATTCTGTCACAGCCAGCTCGAAATCCTCCGACATCAAAGTCGTACGACAACCTACGATGAACGTGACCGCGCCGTGAATGTACAGTCCCTGTATTGATCCCGATGTACGATCTAAACAATCGGGTTCCGTCCGTGTAGTCGCTCGGTCTCTGCCAGCTCCTTCTGCCGGGCGGCCTCCAGCCGAACTCGCTCGGCCTGCGCCTCGTAAAAGTCCGTGCCTTGCCGCCGGGCCTCCTTCCGCCTGAGGATGGGGATCCAGACGATGCCGAGCAGACAGAACACGAAGCCGAGACACAGCAGCACCGGTCCCACGGTCCCCGTGTCGTCCCCTTGCAGCTGCCCCGAGTAGTGCAGCGCCGTGATGACGATGCCGGCTATGAGGAGCAGGCCGCCCAGGATGAGCGTCACGATGGCGCGGCAGAGCGGGATCTCGGCGCACGGGTCCCGGCAGCCCGACTGCTGGTTAGGTGGAGGCCGGTTGGCCAGCTTGGCGAAGCCGCGCAGACCGCCGCCACCGCCGCCGCCTCCCCCGTTACCTGTTCCGGCCCAGGTGCCGTGCATGTCGCCTTCTCCTGAAGCCAGGGTTCACCTGCACAGAAAAAAGAAACACGAGAAATTGGAGATTCCAGTATTGGAGAGTCCATAATAAAATCTTTGGCTCCCTAATACCCCGATTTCCCGTGCCTGACACTTTCACTTCCTGTCATTCTAATTCAATGCAACATTGCCTTAAGCTTAAGACTCCTCGACAAGGGTTAGACATCCAGGTTGAGATATGCAAAAAAAAAGCTGTACCTGAAAACTTTTTTAGATAAATACCTGATGAACTACAGGGTCATTTAGTCACTAACGAAAAAAAAAACTTTAAACGTCTGACTGCAGTTTTAAAAACCAATCTAGTTGCTCGAGCAGCATGACAGTTTTCTTGTGTGTCTTTTGACTCATTGTTATAAAACATTTGGTACAGTCAATGACTTATTTTAACCTTTAGCAACTAAACCTACAGGTTCTAGAATTACATACAATCCGCCACTTTTCTCACGTATAATGTTACAAAGCTTACATAAGTGACTACAGTTTTAAAAGCTTTGTTTCCATGGAAGATGGTGATGCTGAAAGATGCATCCATGGTGCTCTCAGGGGGAACAAGTGCAGAAAAGATCTGTTTACTTGGCACAGGTCTTAGCATAATCATTTACATTACGACATATATTTATACTAGTATATTCTGACTAAATGTTTTTTTGTCCCCTTTGAACATTTATGCTGTATCATCCCGCAAAACAGCATTCCATGCCTTCTTCCCAGGACATCATACAGGGATTGCTACTTCAGATTCTTCCAATCAATTTGCCACACAAGAAATGAATACGCTTGGCCATTACTCATGATTGCGGCTTGGGAATAGGGGAATCTGGTGCTCGAGCCAAATCGTCCCATTTAATCTTCACTACAGCCGAGTTATTATGTGGGCTGGGAGATAGCGGGCCATGTCCCTACATCCCCAAGAGAAATCTTCCTGTCAAGGCAAATGCAATCTTCTGGATAGTAAACTTTGTTAAGACACTCGATGGCACAGCTCTGACATGGACGATATAGCTATAGATGTGGACATCTTGTCTCTCCAAAGTCCCCGTCACACATTCAGAGGCTTTTCCCGAACACCAGCCGACCAAGTTTGGCTAAAGTTCGGTAGGAGTCTGACCCAATTTAAATCACGCCTGCCCTTCGCTACGAATTCAGATTGAATTTGAGTCAAATTTGACTGCCAACCACGCCTCGAACTGCTCCCGAACACCAACCAACTACCAGCCGACCGCGACTGAACCTCCCGTCTACACTCGAATGTTTTAAACATTTTGATCGCCCGTCTCTCATTCTACTCAAACACATTCGTATCTTTGATGACCAGCCCCTCCAACCTTGTCCACCGACTTGCTACATAATGTAACCCAACACCACAGGGTATCTATCTGCTACAGCACCAGACAGCCGTCTGGTCCAGGTCATTGACCTTTTTTTTTAAAAGATTATGAAACAGGGCAAAATGATAAGCTTTCTCTCTGTGAATGTAAACTGGCAAGATCCTCCACCTTGTCCCAGTTGTTGCCATGAATTATGGATGCAGCCGACCGCGGAGTGGATGGATGGGTGACCCCAGCCGGCGGTAGGGCAGCTCTCCCGGGGCGCAGGTCAGAAGTAAAACCGCCCCGGGCAATCTCACCGGCCGGTGAAAAATGACGCCGCCGTTCCAACAGGTACGCTCCAGGCAGTGGCCGCACATGTAGGCAGTTTGTCATAGCACCACGAACAATGACTTCCCTTCAAACGGAAAGGCTTTTATCGTGTCCAAAGGCCTGTCTAGTTCTATGCCTGAATGGGTTAGGGTTAGGATCAGGCACGGTTCTTGATCGCGTATCCAAGACCGTAGATTTTGCCCCCAGCCATGGCTCTGGATACGCGTGGACTATCCATGCAAAACCCTTCCCAAGCATGGTTCTGAACAAGGCAGGATTCCAGATACAACTTTGTCAGAGGCCTGAACAATATTGCAATCTCTCTGATGATGCCTTTGACCATCTATTCCTTTACGATGCTTTACTTTATGTCCCATAATATTGAAACGATTTAAGAGTAACCAATCTTTTATTCCATCAGTTAGAACTAGAATTCTTCGATATGTTTAGATCTTGTATGATATTTCACGTTACTTTCTTATGCTTTTCTTGTTTGTTTTGTCCTGCTGTCCTTTTGTGTCGTCGTTTCTTCTTGTGACGGCACGAACATGGGCCATGGGCTTGAATGTGGCTCTCCGCGTTTTTTCATTAAATATTGCAGTAAAATGACTTCCCTTAGCTTTTGGGCCGTTGAGTCAGCTATAATTTGACAGTTTGAAGGACTGGTATGCTTGTTACAGATGGACAAATACAGGGAAGGTGGTATCAACACTGCCGTGCGGCACGGATCACTGGTCGGTGGTAATCACCAGTGGTGCCTCCAAGTCGATCGGCCATGGGTTTATAGACTATAGCGGGGTTTCGAATGCCTTCGATTGCTTTTACACACGGTTGGGTCACACAGTTGAGTTAAAGGCCTCCTAGTATCATATGTTAGCTTGTAAACACTGCAAACAAACGTTGGCTGGTAAATTAAGGTAGGTAAGATACAGTCAGTGGGGATGAGCCAGGGCAAAGGTAATGTCATAGAGCAATGTTAAATTTAATTTATTTATCTTTCATTGCTATGTATTTGGTATTTTGTAAATATGGACAAATGAATAATAAATAAATAAATGATATGTGATAATGTTAGGAAAGAACAAATAAAGTACAATAAAGTTCAGTATGTTATATATATATATCTACTGTAAGTTACAAAATGATACAATTTTGCTGAGAACCCAGAGCCACGTACACGTTGGATTTCGTCATCACTAAGTTGTTAAGCTTAAGAGTTGCCTAGGGATATCCTAGCCCATCAGTACTTATACAACGCCTCTATTTTCCAAATCCTTTTCTAAAGGTCGTGGCCTCTTTCGATTTCCCCAGGAGCTTATGTAAGAGATTATGTACTTTGTGAGACGTGTTCAAATTCAACCCCAAGATTAGGTGCCTGTGTGTAAGATATCAGACGATAAGTGCCGACTCGTGCATGGGAGTAAATCTGCCCTACACGAGTAGGATTACCTTTGTTGAGTTGATACTGTTGAGTCTTAGCTTATTCACGGCATATCTTGAAGGAGTTATCTGGTATCCGCTCACAGAAAAAAAAAGTAAACTACAGGCTGTGCATGCAAGATTTTGTTGCAAACACGGAAACACAGTTACTAGTAATGCAATACTGTCTTATTGACAACTAATTCGGAACAAACATGCCTGTATCGTGAGGTGTTATAAGGCAATAAAAGAAATGCTGATTGCAGCCAGAGGCTGTTTCAACAGCTTTGATCTGCAGAACACAGTACATCATCATCAAAGGCGATAGGGTGATGAAGTGACGTTTATGTAAAGCAGAATCGTCACAAAACAAAACGCCTCTAGTGGTAAGGTGATAAAGCATCTGAATCAAATTCTCATTGGGTTTACATAAAGCAGAATTGTACGATCATGAAAGCTGTCTGCCTGCGGGCGGTTGTTCCATCTAGCTGATAGGAAACCCAGGTGGCGAGTGAGAATCTCTCTCTCCCAGGAGGCCCCGTTACACCTGAGTTAACGCTAACGGCGCTAGGAAAAAATGTACTGTTTCCGGTATCACGAATGATTCTAGCAATTCAAACTCGTGGAGCCAAGCCTTTTTTTCTGTTGACGTCTGTTAAGTCCTTTAAATATTCAATCTGATATCTGAACTTCATACCCTTTGAAACTTTCAGTTCAAGGATTATCAGAAGCAAATTTTCTGTAAATCTGGTGAAATATTAGTCCCTTCCCTCAAGCAAATGAACGACTCCCAGAGGCATCTCTGATCCTGAGGCAATTCAGTTTTTCATTGTTAAACTGTATTTGGTGGATCGCTTCAGCCAAGATCTAAGAAAGAAAAGAAGAAAGGAAAATCCCTACCTACCGACTAAAGTTTTTTTCAGGACTGAAACCGAAAACACAACGTCTTTCCGTAGGTCTAACGGCGCTTTACAGGATGCCGTAAATCCGCCACGTTCGACGTTCTTACCGACACGCGCCATTAGGATCATCGAGCATCAGCGTGATTTGCCGCGACACCGCGCCGGGAGGTGAGGAAAGCCCGACAGCACGCGCGCGAGAGGCCGTGTACGGTGAAATCTGTGGCGAGCTGAGCTGCCGTAAATCTTAGGTGGGCGTGCGATACTGTCAGTAAACCTCGCTGCAGGAATTCAAGGTCGCTCGTCCCTCGATAGCGTTATGCAACATAAAACATATCTACAATCTTCCTTCGAATTAGAGATTAAGGTTACAGTTACACTATGAAGTGTCATGTATTTTGAAATACGTACGGAGGGAAAGAGAGAGAGAGAGAGAATGAAAAGAAATGTATAAATACGGTTAATATTTGTGTGATATATAGTAGCATCTAGCCTGAATCTACATGTACTAGTATGCTGCGTAAAACCACCAGAATTCTTTTGAGGCAAAGTTGTTTTTTCCATCCCTTGCTAGCGCACAGATCCCCAGCTGAACAGCTGAACGCCACTCTTGCTTATGGCTGTGCAAAGTTGCCACATCTCTGCCAATTCGCGGGCTAGTTTTATCTCCTGTAAGTGTTTTCTTCTACAACACCGTCATTACGAGTATCATCTGGGCCTGTCTATCAGAATAGATGTCTCAATGACTCGCTTCGAAAAAGCCGATCTTTGCCAATTTGCCGGCTATTTCTGTCTCCCATACGTGGCGATTGCTTCTTTAACAACAAAGGGATCGTTAACTGGACCTGTCTATCCGAATAGATGACTAAATCACTCGGTCGGAAAAATTAATAGACTCCTTTCTAAAGCCCCTGTTACACATGCAGGACCTTACCCCGAACACCAGCCGACCTACTCCGAACCATGGTTTGGAGGCGTTCGGCTGGTGTTCGGGAGGCCACATTCGTGACTGTGTGACAGGGGGCATAACTGGA